TGTCTAAAGCCTAAATGCAGTTATGATATTTATCTAGTCAGAATGCAATAATTTTTGTTCAGTATTTACATGGTTAATTGTAAAAGTAATTGCAGATTGAGTAATTCAATATGTTAAGAGTTGTATTCCTGATCTTTATAATGTACGTGGATCATTTAAATGCATACACGTTAACATATAAGTGACTGTATTGTTGCTTCATGTGACTGCACCTTTGATTTGATTTGATCTGGGGAGAGGAGTGAGGAGAAACTCCGGGTGAAGTCCGAGTGAAAAAAAAAGTTTTTCAGGAGATTTCTGCAAGTGTGAAAGCCCCTAGAGTAAGAGAGTGGAGCCACCGTTTGTTCCACCTCTCCACTCTTTGTTTTGTGACCTGAAAGTGGATAATTCTGTCCTAGTTTATCATTTTATAAACAGTCAGACCTTTGAGTGTTTATGGTGTGAAAGGTGAAAGATTGGAGTTCACAGAGCGTCAACTTCAACCAAATTTGAAAGACTATCTTTCTGTAAAATAAAAAGGCTTTACACACGCTACTAGTAAAACACTTTTAGCACTCCCATTTTAAAACCTTTAAAAGTGACCACAAAAGGTCAAACTTTGAACCCTCACACACAGGCAGCTTTTCACATCAATGTATCTAAAACACACTCATTGATTTGTGCGGTGTTATAATGAATCAGATGAACCATAAAATACACCACCAGAAATCTTTTCAGACAAGCAAACAATGAAACTTCTCTGTAAAATAAAGGGATGGGAGGTTTACTGGCATCGACTTCTTTGTACTCTTTGAAATGTTTTTTCTGCCGTAAAAACCTGAAGAATTGTTTCCAAATGTTCGAGCTGCCAAAACAAGCAAATTGATTTTCAACTCTCGTGTCTTAGTGTGTATGAAAGTATATAGAAGAAAATATTGTTCTCTCTTTTTTTTAGGGGGGGACTTGACAGCAAAAATAAATCAAGATCAGACATGCATGTCTATCAGGGTGTTGTGGGGTCATTAAATTTTCTCTCTCTCCCTCTCTCTCTCTCTCTCTCTCTCTCTCTCTCTCTCAGGTGTTCTCCGAGTCGCTGTGAGCACGGCGGTCTCTGCAGTCAGTCCTGGACCATGTTTCACTGTAACTGCTCTGACAGCGGATACAGTGGAGCCACCTGCCACAGCTGTAAGTCACCTGTCAGATAAACATCATCATACTGTATACTGTAAAGACTGGGGAGCAGGGAACCACTGAACTTTAAGAGCACTTACAGAGTCCCCAATACTCCACCACAGACTCCCTCTCTCATGCATTGTGTTCGTGTCCTGTTGCCTTTAAGCACCCACCAGGTACAGAGCACTTAGCAGACGACGCGATAATTCCATTATATATCGTGTGAAGCACTCAGAAACCAACTAGTAGGACTCTGCTTGAATTGTATTTTGTCCCCAGTTTGTTGTGTGTGCAGTTAAATAGTGATCTGAACAAAAAAAAAGGCACATCTGTAAAATATTTAAGTATTAAAGCTCCTGTGAGGAACTTTGGTTTGTGATGAATTTGGCGCCCCCCTGTGGACAAAGCGGTACCCTTGCTCTATTTGCTGATCTTGTCCTGTCCATGAGTCAGTAGTGTTTTCAAAAGGAAAAATGTAATCCTGCTTTTTACTGTCAAACATATCCCACATTTTAAATCTTTTCCATTGGAAAATGTAAACAAGCATCAAGCAGTCAATTGTCTGTCACAAGGAAATAAACAGTAAAAAGGTAATGTGTCTTGTGCTTCAAATAACATTTAAAGGAGGGATATGTAACTCTGAAACAAAGTGTTTAAAATTAGTACTGCAGTCCAAATTCAAAACATTGGAGAGAGCTGTGTCCCCCACCCTGCCTCCTCTCTAGAGTCGATGTGCACACAGGTCACCATGAACACTGATGCTTCAGTGTTTATCCAGCTCTGCATCGGTCTGTAAACCTTTCTACATTCTAACTTTCCTCCATTTTTCAAAAGCATCTCCAATATTGATCCTAGTTTGAGCACGTTTCTGCTCGTGGAGCTTATTAGAAACATACAGAGGCTTTTTAGGTCGGGTTGAATCGGTTCTGTCTGAACCACTTCTCTTGCCCGCTTCCATCGCTGCAACACCTGTTGACCTGGAAAAACCGAGGGGCGTCCGAAACAGTTATGTTGAGGTGCCTTAAAACCGCCCACCTTCTACAATTCACTTAGCAGACGCTTTTTATCCAAAGCGACGTACATCAGAGAGTAAGTACAACACAAGCAAGGATCTAGAAAAAAGGGAACAATGTCAGTAAGAGCAAACGATCAGCTTTGAGTCTGATTGGACACACAGGTGCTGACAGGAAGTCACCAGACGCAAAGCACAACTTTGACTGCAGTTCTGGAGAGCTCTACTCAGTATAGAAACCATCTAATAAGTCAAAACCTTCTCTGGTCCAAACAAAAATAAACCGTTCAGGACCAGAATCTAAAGTTAGAAGGAGGACATACTGGCTGCTGCACTTCAACAAAGCATGTTTCCTTAATGTCTGATCATAAAGTAAGCTCACTTTATCATTTTAGTCAGCAGATGTTAAGTAGATTGATCCTTTAAAGTTCCTGCGATGAGTTATTTGCTGGTTGTGAAGCAGACTGAAATGAATACTGATGACTCTTTATGACCTATGAATGCAAACAAGACAATAAGCATGAAGATTGATTATTTCTGTACAGTGTTGTTTAACGTCTGATATCCTTACAGCAGGTGCCAGATGAATTTATTTACAGAATGCTGCAGGAAAAGCCTTTGTTAACAATTTCCACTGTAAAGATTCTCGATGAGCGATCTAAAAAGTAAGCAGGATAAGATCTTTTTGTAAAAAAAAACACTACTTACACATGTACAGATAATAATCAGCCATAAGACACAAGAGTTACCGCTCTGTCCACTGGGGGCGCCACAATCAACACAGTCCAAAAGCTCCACACAGAATCCTTTTTATCCCCATATATTTAACTAAGACCATGTGTTTTTTTCCTAAACCTTAACCAGATCCTGAACATAGCTGTAATGAAAAACACTCATCACACGTGAGGTGGCTACATGAGTGAATATTTTAATACAATTCTGCAAACACTCAAGCTAATGATTTGCAAAAGTGTTTCCCAACCACGCCATTTATATGTAGCTGGAATGCATTAGCTGTTGCATATTTTTGGGATTTAAGTGCAATTTTCATGGGGAAAGATTTAGAAAAGGGGGAGGAGGAAGGATGTAGAGAGCTTTTGAAAATAAAAATGGAAATTAGAGGCTGAAATTGTGAGGAAAAATTGAATTAAAGTGCAGATAGTGAATTTCCTTTCACATACACTCACTTCTACATGGAGCACTTTCAGCAAGGAGGCAAATTGAAAAGAAAATGTGATCAACAAACCAGAATTATTACGACTTTAACAAGGATCAAGCTGGCAGCTCGAAAGCCTTATTGTTTGGTAGATACAGATGCGAAGGTATTCAGCTTTTGAGTTTTGCTTCTGGAAATGAGATCAGATCAGAGACAGAATATTTCTTAGTTTTTGTTGTAGTTGCAGACATGTTTCTAATGGCCTCCTTCATCCCCTTATTCCCAGAATCTTCCCCTCTTACAAAGCAATGCAGGTTAGATAATCTGTTTGTAGGTGAGCTATATGATTGAGGGTAATGACATTGTAGCTGTGACTAACAGAGACATAATCACTCAAAATATAAAACGGTGGCAGTGAGGGGGAATTTATAGGTAAGATTTAATGGTTCTATGCCGATTCCCTCGAGGCAAATCCTGGAAAACAGACATTCAGGGTTTCCCACACAGTTCGCCTCCAAGTTTTTATTTTCATGCTGATGTTTGAGTGAAACATTTCTGAGGGAATGTGATGGATTGAAGACTGGTGGCTATGCAGGCAGAGAGATAAACAGGTGAGCAGAGTGTGGGGATCTTTAGATATGGATTTGCCTTAAATGTCAGCGATTTGACTGCAAAGGAAGCACAGAGCGTGTGTGTGTGTGTGTGTGTGTGTGTGTGTGTGTGTGTGTGTCTGTGTGTGTGTGTGAAAAAGAAGTAAGGATGAAGACGTATGGAGACTGCCAGGAAGATGGAGGGCTGATAAAGGTCTGAAGTCTTTTTTTTATGGAGTCTCTGGCCTCCCGTCAGTCATTATTGTCCCCGTTACCTGGATTTATCTTTCCTTCAAAGGAGGCTCATGGAGAAAATACAAAGTGTGATTTTACTTTCAGTGCGTTGGTGGTGATAAGTTTGTACAGGATGGCAGGCGATGTGGCGTACAGCGTGTGCTCGTCATCTCCCTCACAGCTGATGTGTTGATGGTTGACGGTGGATTCACGCTGCAGCTGATCTCATTATTTTTCCTCACCAGCTGTGTACGAGCAGTCCTGTGAGGCGTACAAACACAACGGCAACACTTCGGGACATTTTCACATCGATGTGGACGGCAGCGGACCGATCAAACCGCAGCTGGTCTACTGCAACATGACAGGTGACACACACTCTCACACACACACACACACACACACACACACACACACAGTCTTTCATAATCACTTAATGTTTTACGATAAACATTAACATAATCATAAATGATGTTGCTCCTGTCATGATGATCAAATCCTTTTTATGGCTCTCTCTTTGGTTCCCTTCTTCACTTCAGTCTCTCTCTCTCTCTCTCTCTTTCTCTCTCTCTCTCGCTCTCTTTTTCTTTATCTCTCTCACTCTCTCGCTCTCTCTCACTCTCTCTCTCACTCACTCACTCTCTCTCTCTCTCTCTCTCTCTCTCTCTCTCTCTCTCGCTCTCTCTCTCTCTCTCACTCTCTCTCTCTCTCTCTCGCTCACTCTCTCGCTCACGCTCTCGCTCACTCTCTCTCTCTCTCTCACTCTCTCTCTCTCTCTCTCTCTCTCTCTCTCTCTCTCACTCTCTCTCTTTCTTTCTTTCTTTCTTTCTCACCTTCTTTCTCTCTCTATCTCTCTCTCTCTCTCTCTCTCGCTCACTCTCTCTCTCTCTCTCTCTCTCTCTCTCTCTCTCTCTCTTACTCTCTCTCTCTCTCTCTCCCTCTCTCTCTCACTCTCTCTCTTTCTTTCTTTCTTTCTTTCTCACCTTCTCTCTCTCTCTATCTCTCTTTCTCTCTCTCTCTCACTCTCTCTCTTTCTTTCTTTCTTTCTTTCTTTCTTTCTCAACTTCTCTCTCTCTCGCCCACATTCATCTCTGTCTATAAATGTCTTAGTGCTTCACATCCCTCACATCATGTTGATTGTATTTTCCTCTCCGGTCTAAATGTATATCTTTCACACCATCTGTTTCTGTGTTCTTCATGATTTACATAACTGTATATTTATGGACGATGACATTCTTCGGTTTGTCTCTTGTCTTTGATTCTCTCTTTTTCTCTCAGTGTGTCTTCTACATCTCACACACTCACAGGGAAGATTACACTCATGTGGTTATTAAAAACAAGCAAGCTCTTAATATTTCTAAAATTTCATAAAAAAAACTTTGTAAAGAAAGACTAATTATTCAAAGTTCTTTGCAGAGTTAAAAATATTACAATTAGCATAAATAGATAAAGACAGAAGATAAATACATTTGACATTGAATCCTCTCCGTTGTCTTATGAAGGTTGAGCATCACAAGAAACATTGTTTATTTATAAATACATATCATTTAGCAAGATGGTGTGCAGCAGTGTTTTCTCTTTCACACAAAAAATACAAAAGTGAAATATGAAGTGGTCAGAAAGGACAGAGACATAAAAAACCTTCAGCCCTTCTAAGTGACCAGCAGAAGCCCCTTGATGCATAGTTTACATTATTTTAACATGTGTGTTTTCTTGTGTCTGTTTCCATCAACAGAGGAGACCACGTGGATGGTGATCCAGCACAACAACACAGAGATGACCAGAGTCCGACCGTCTGCAGGTGTGAACCAGCGTTCAGTCCACTTTGACTACTCCACGAGAGAGGAGCAGTTATCAGCAGCCATCGGCCAATCAGAGCACTGTGAACAGGAGCTGTCCTACCACTGCAGGAAGTCCCGCCTCCTCAACACTCCAGGTAAGGTCCTCTTTGGCTGAATTCCAAACTCAGGGATGTTCTGATGTGACTTACCCAGAGTTCATTGCAAATTTGGTTCTAGAAGTGGGCTTTTTTTCATATTATTATTTAATTGCGCATCTTATTTCCAGGCATCATGTGATGTCATGATATTGTGTCCCGTTATCGACCATCTCAAGCCCTCACAGACTCACCAACTCAAGCACTGCACACCTGATGCTGCTAAAGTCTGTGAAGGTTCAGTGTTCAGGCTTCATGGGGGCGATTAGGATCAGGATTAGGATCAGGATCAGGTCTTCATGTTGTGGCTCAGATGTTTTCTTGCAGAAATTCTACCACAACAAGAAGCTACATGTTTGGTCTTTATTCTTTTTCCTCCAGACAGAAGTGGAAAAAACTTAAACTCAGACTAAATAATGAAAACAAAAAAACACTGTCTTTAATCAGCTAATGAGATTTTAATGCCAAACTCCAGTTGTTACCACTGACATTATATATTTGTTTAACTTCTGCTCAGATCTTATCAGAGTGATTGTTCAAAACAAAAGCTTTGGGGGAATCTACTCCCTGCGGCTCTGCACATCGTTGGGACTCTGTCCAACAATCAGAATGACTTTGACTCAGAATGACTCTTTCTGACTAATTAATGCAAACTAGTTCAGGCTTTCAGTGTTTTATTCATATTTTGAATTTAGCCAGACAGATGGATTGAGTCTGATTTGTTGAAATGTCTACTTCATTTGAAATGGACATCAAGTCCAACTTAGTCAGTCTGTGTTTTCTCGTGCTCTCTCGTTATCTCCGTCCAGTGATGAAGTGATTCATCAAACATCATGCTGGGAGTTTGAATCCGGGTTTATGCTCGTGTTTTGATCAACGCTGCCTTTGAGGAAGTGGACGGGAAACTTTTTATGTTAAGTAATTTCAAAAACATAAATGCAACATTGATTGTAAAGATGCACACGTCCACTTCTTTTCAGTTCTGATCCGATTCAGATATTCTTTAACCATAATTAATGTTGTTGGTATTATAAAAATGGCTACACAAAACTGTAGCTTCTTATTGAAAGAGAAAAAACTAATAAATGCCTAAAAATTACAATGATGCCAAAGAATGTTATTTGAACTTTTGCTGGTTTCACATACAAACATGTAGCAGCAACTACTGTAAGGTTTTCTCATTAAATATTTGTGGACGCTTGCAGTCGAGACAAAAGCAATTTAAGAATGTTTAAAGTGCCCAGGGATCTGTCTTGATCTGTGACGTGGAACAGCGCCGTCAGTCCGATATCCGATTTGTAAAATTTGGAGCCAGCCTCAAGCACTCGACGAACTGCAGGATTTGACACTTCTACTTTGGCTTCATTTTTCCAGACCGGAGGTTGCTGCTTGTTTTTTTTGGACGTCTGGTGTAAATGACTGAAATGTTTTCTCATGTCAGACAAAATGAATCTGTTGTTGTTGTTGTTGTGTGTGTTTTTTAGAAGGCTCTCCGTTCAGCTGGTGGTTCGGTGGTCCTGGTCCCGGTACTCTCCAGACTTATTGGGGTGGAGCTCAGCCAGGCAGCCAGCAGTGTGCCTGCGGCCTGCAGGGCGTCTGTGTGGACCCACAGCACTACTGCAACTGTGACGCAGACCGCGTGGAGTGGTACTGAAACTTTTCTTTTCTTACTGAAAATGTTTCTCACCATTTGAAAGTGTGCTACGTTGGAGGTATTCTTCTTCTCTTGATTTAAAAAATTCTGATTTGTAAAACCTAAAAACGATAAACCTCCAGAAGTTCCATGATGGATATTTCAATCAGGAGAGACCCAAGTAAGATTTTACCCTTATTTATTTAACAGTTTAGAAAAAGATAAAATATGCAATGTCTCTGGCACTTAGACTCCGTCGTTATGACTTCATGTTCTCAGAGGGGCAGCGAGGCCGACAGCAGGAGAGGATATGGAGTCTCCTCTCTGGTGGTGGTGGTGATGAAAGAAGAACACAGGATGTGATGAGGAGTGAATTTCTGAGGCTGTATCTGAACTCTGCTGAGCTGGAAGAGGGTCACAGCAATCGCACTGAAATGATAAACTCACTGCAGAAGAGAGAGAACAGATTTCTAAATTTGAAAGCAGCAGGATGATTGGTTGAGAGAGGTTGTGTTAGAATCTGGTTGAATGCTTAAAGAGTAAAAACCCATAATCAGCTGATCACCAGAGCGGGGAGACGGAGGAAGAGGAAGAGAGGGTGGTCTAGCTGAATGAAGAAAAATGAATGATTGTGTGAGGGAATATAAACAGCTCCATTAGCCATCATTTGGAGGTGTCGCAGATAGGAAGATGGTTTGGTTTCCAAACTAAGAAAAACGCTAAGTAATGCACTTCAAATTTGACTCAAACAGGCTATATTCCCAGAGAATAGAAGAGAGTCTGCTCGAAACATCCATCATGTGGCAATTAAAAGCGTTTAAACCAGTGTGGAGTGCTGTACTGTCATTTTTCTTGTTTTGGACACTTATCCAGGATTCATCACTCAGTTGTTATACGCTGTTTAGGAGTCGAGCGTGTTTGTCTTTAGAATTGGTTTCCAAACTAAAGCATCAGAAAAGTTAAATATAATGTTTTTTCCAGCGTACATAATTTATGAATGTGTGCCAGACCGCACAGCAGTAAACTGTCCCAGTTTAACTTTGGCAGTTAAGAAAACAGAATAATCGGTCTGATAGAATTCAGAGTTTTGGCCTTTCCTCTAGTTGTAAGCTGTCGTGCCGCACTGCCTGACCTGCTTCCTCTATCATTTCCCAGTACAAACTGTTTGTTCGTGGTCTATTTTTACAGACCGGAGCTGCCATTGCTGCTCTTCAATATTTCATCAGACTCACAAAGTGCTGTAAACACTTCCCCGCTTCCAGTCCTCCCGGCCCTGGATGTTTTTTGTCGACAACTCTTTCTCAGCAACAGGAGCTAACGGGGAGGATTAGCTTTGTGGGAAGAGCTGCATGTGGGCGTCGATGGACAGCAGGCGTCTGGTTTTTAGGAGGAGTTGTTCCAGAAACCGTCTCAGATGGATGTTGACTTGTCAGGATGGTTATAATTCAGTTGTGGGAATAAATAGTCCTCCGAGAGATTGCACCTTCACACTGCAATGTTTACATCACTTGTAACAACATGTAATATTGTCCTGAGAGTGATGCAACAGAGAAACAACACAGCTGTTGAATCTACACAAAAAGATGATAATATTTCAGTTTTTCTTTGTGCTCGCTCCATCTCCTACTTCATGTTTTTTTGTTTTTTTTGTTTATTGACATTTCTCTCCCTTATTCCTTCTCTTTCCCTGCAGGGCGGAGGACTCAGGCCTGCTCACCTATAAGGAGAGCCTCCCTGTCAGGTCTCTGGTGCTGGGTGACGTCCAGAGGCCGGGCTCAGAGCCGCCTACAGGGTGGGAGCTCTGCGTTGCCATGGAGACAGTAAGTCCACTTCTCTTCCTTTTATGGAGGTTACTTCTGTCGCTCGCTTATTTTGTCAAACTGCGTGACAGCAGATGTTCACACATCAGAATTGATTGGCCATTATCCAGTACCAGATGTACCAACTATACATAAGACTCATTTTAGATCTAACTTATGACCGGGTTTACGCACTACTTACATTTAATCAGCTGATATACTTCAAGTGCAGTCAAAGTTGTAACCCAACAACACACTACACTGGAACACAATTGATATGGTCCCATTACCCACTTTTTTTTTTGTTCATTCCTCAGTTATTCTTGTTTTCTTCTTTCCTTTGTTTTGAATATGCTTTCTAGCCCCTCCTTGTTCAAGCTTGGGGAGGGTAGCAGTAGGCAACCCTATCAGCTGGTCCCCTCCGCAGGGTCTGGGGGCAGCTGAGACAGGGGCACCCCTGCACCACACAATGACTGAAGTAAAAAAAAAAAAGATAATATAGAAAAAAAGAGGGGGAGGAAAGGGGAAATAAGAGAAAGGAGGAGAAGGAAAAGAAATGAATGGGAAGAAAAAAAAAGAGAAAAAAAATGGAATGAAGGAAGGAAGAAGGACAAAAATAGGAATAGGGGTATAGAGGAAGTGAAAAAGGAAAGGTAAATAAATACAAGCATACACTCGAATTACACACACACACACACACACACACACACACACACACACACACACAAGCAGGGCCTTTCAACACCCTCAACATACACAATTGCAAAATGTTATCATTGCTCCCTGCTTGCCTGTTTTGTCTTGTCTCTGTCTATGCTGTGCATTGTATCGTCGTGTCTCCCCTGTCTCCTACATACTTTTGCTCTTTCATGTCCCTCACTTGTCTTGTATTGTTCTGCATCACCTGATAAAAAAAAAAAGAGCTTGTAACTTAAACCTTTCACCTAGCTTGTAGTAGGTGTAAAGTCCTCTGTAAAATACGGTTGTCATGGTGATCGTTTTTAAAGGAGGGATAAATTGGAGGATGAGGTAGAGCAGACTGGTTGTGCATTCTCCACATTATGAGCAGAGATCATTTAATCCGTCCAATAACAGAGTACTGTTACATTACCTGATGTCGTAGATGACGATTAAACTACTTGATGTCACGTTAGTTTACACTGGCTGTGGATTAAGATTGTCGATATTATGGAGATTTTGTAGTGAAATTTGAAAGTTGGAAAAGTGAAACAATTCGATGTTATATTTTCTGAACTGAATACACAAACTTTACTTTGAATAAAAAATGGGTCCCTGGATGTTTGGAGCTAAAAAGCTTCCAGGAGATTACAGTTTCACTGTTGCGGACCCACCACCATAACTTCTTTAGCAGCATTTTATCTTCAAACAGCGTTCCAGGGACCAAATGTTCCTCTGAGGACAGTTTGTGTACAGAGTTATGAACATATACCACAGAATCTGTACACTTCTCCAACCTTTCACATTTCTCTACCAAAACTCCATAGTGCACCTTTAATGGTATTCTGTACATGTTGAA